CGAGCCGTGGTGAGGGCGGGCTGAGGGGCCGCGCCGGGTCTCGGTGCCCCCCGTCCCTGCTCCTGTCTTTGTGCCTTCCCACTGCCCGGTTCCGGTGCCCTCCGGCGGCTCCCTCCGTGTCCGCTCTGCTCCCGACCGGGTCACGGTGCCCTCGGGTCTTTGTGGCTGCGGGCCGACCCCACTCTGTCCCGCCGGGGTCGGTCCCGCAAGACCGGGGACCGACGGGGGCTGGCCGCGAAGGGCGTGGGGTTCTGTGGTGTTTTGGGGCCTTGTTTTCGAGTCTCTATGAGCCGGAGAGGTGCGATGTGCGGGGCTGGCAGTGGGGCCCGCGGGCTGTGGCGGCACCATGTCACGGCAAGCATGAGCTCCCCTTGGCAGAAAAGGGAAATAAACCGCTAATGAGAGAGTGTAGATGCTCCCAGCAGCACGGCTGTGCCCATTGCCCGAGGCAGTCTCTTCGAGGCTCCCTTCAGCGTGCTCAGGACACGCTCAGGGTGCTCAGTGCAAGGTATGTGTTAACCAGGACCGAGATATTCTTTGGTTGTTGTTTTAGTTCCCTCAGGCTATGAATCTGCATGCTTGGGGACTGCAGCGTCTTTGGGTAAGGCATCAGTGTTCCCTAAAACACAGGGATGTGTAAAAACTTGACAGTTTTAACACTTTCCATTTTCTTATGTGAATGTTAATCATATATCATTAATAGTTTCACCTCAGAAAAACTCTCCCAGGTTACCGGAGCCTTTCCCATGGTGGTAGAGTTAAATTACTGTGAGGGTGATAAAGAGGTTCCTTCAGGTAACCGAACTGAGCGGTTCCAGAGGCAGTCAGTGACTGACGGGATCTGTTTGTGCTGTGCTTGGAGGGAGCTGACAGCCTCCCCTTCCCTGCCCCTGGCTCCTGTCTGGGCAGGAAAAGAGCCCAGCAGAGCTGTGAGAGGATAGCTGCAGTGCTGAGGCGTTACCAGCAAATTCCTGAAGGTGCAGTCCTGTTATCTGTTCTTTCTGTTTGTCTCTGAAAACTGGACAGCATCAGGCTCCTCTGCAGGGGAGGAAGCGAGTATAAACGTGACAGTGATTCCTGAAACCTTAGTGCAAAATATTTGCAATAATGGGTTTGATACTTTGGGGATACAATGTATCCCCAAACAGATATACATATGTATACATAACCGTATATACAAAACAATGGGGTTTCGGTACATTTTGCCTGCTCTTTGAGAATGTAATCAAGAAAAGTCTTGCATGACTGAAGATGGTTTGTTAATGGTTGTTGCATTTGGAAATATGGTTAATAATAGTCCAGTCTGAAATTATATCAGAGTTTTGCTGTCCTGTCACCATTTTAAAAACAGAGATCTGCATTTAAGAAAAAAAACCCAAGGAAATTTTGGTTTACAGCCATTTTATATTACCTATTGGAAGAAGAGACAGAATACTTACTTAGAGCTTATATTTGTAGTTGTCTTGTTGAGGTTTCTGTTGGAGCTGATAATAATGGGTCTGAATATGGCATACCCCAAGGGTTCTCCTGGTTTCTGCTTCCCATCAGGCTCTGGGGAGGTGTGGTGTGGGGGAGAAGGAAGTGGGTACAAAAGGGCATAGGCCTGTGTCGGCTGGACTTGAAGGCTTTTAAAACTCTCCCATACATTTTCATTATGGACTTTTCTTTTTCTCTCTTACTGCAAAACCTTTTCAAGTAGTAAAAAGGAGCAGTGGCCTAATGATCCTTGTATGGGAAGTTGGGTTCTCAGTGTATTTGAGGTCAGTGTCTCAGTGCCATTTTTCAAGTCCAAGCACACAGTGTCACCTCAAATTTTTTTTCATTTAGGTGCTTCACTGGGTAAATAAATGTCTTGCCTTAGAAGTTCCCTGCAAGTGTTGTTAGACGCTGGCATATCAGTGGATTCTCAGCAGCAGGAGCAGGAGAAGTGCAGTGTTTGTAGTCCTGGCACTGCCACCTGTTTTCCTAACAGCCCTTGACCAGATCAGTCCAAACTTCACTCACCAGCTTCCATCCAGAAAGTGTTTGCAATTTATTTGATTTCAGATACACTAAATGCTACAGCTATATTATTTTATTTGCCCTTTGAAGCTGCAGAGCCCCTCTCAGGGAGGTGAAGCCTGGTGAGGGGTGCACTTATCCTGCTGCCCATATGGAGCTCTGTCAGGTGCCAGCCTTGGGTGGCCAACCCTAACGAGTGTATCTTCCTTGCACACTGGGTTCATAAACACTTTCAACTCATGTCCCTGGCCTTTGTCATACTGTGAAACTTAAGAGCTCTCAGCTCAATTGCTTTTTGGGCTGTTCATGCTGTGAAAGTTAAGGAGGACAAGATCCAGTTGATTCATAGAGGTATGTAAGGAAAGCATAGAAGGGTAGTAAGGAAAACATGAAACTTGCAAAGTGCTCACCTAATAGAGCCTTTGTTTCCTCAGCAGAGGTCTGTTAGTGCATATAGAAGTCAATACAGGGCATCGGAAACACAGGGCTCACATTTGTTCATTTCTGAAAATCCACAGCTTCAAGTTTAGTCTTTTCTGACTCTTGAGAGATTTATTCTCCTCTCGGATTTGACACTTGCTTTGCAGGAGTATAATCTCTTTGACAGGGCTCTGCATATGGGCAAGGGATGGTAGACACTTTTAAATCAGCCAGTCCTGTTTCTTTGATGCTCCTCAGCACTGTTGTAACCTTATAATTCTACACAAAAGATTGTATCATCTTGAACAATATAAAATGTAATTGTCCAGTTCCAGACATAATTTGTCAGGTTTTTTTCCTTGTCCCACATGAACTATGTGAAAACAGGACTGGAAATAATAGAATAAGTCTTTTGATTGTGTGTTGTGTATTAATGTCCTTCAGCATTTCAGCATGTAGGGGTTTTGTGAACCTTTAACGCAGAAAAAATAACATTAAATGGAACAAAGCATAATAAAATGCACAGATTTGTCTCTGATCCACAAAAGGGGTGCTCTGAGCTGCACTATTGATAATTTATCATGTGGGTGTTTGACAAGCCCACACATACCCTGATATAACACTCTGCCGATACAGTCCTCAGTGTTCTGTAACACCCTGGAAATATTTAATTCATAAATCCTGATGCTGAAGCCCTTAAGGTGTCAGAAACATGGTGTTCATGCCTGTGAATCTGAGCAGGTTTGGTTAGTCAGATAAATACCACGCTCCAAATAAACTGTGATCCTAACATGCAACAGAATAAACATTTACATAAAATATCATGGGATTAAAATTGCTGTTCGAGTATGTTAGTCCTTTCCTTTGAAGGAATAATTTTCCAGAGTTTTTGTCTTTAAGACCTTTCCTCCATGAAACTGGAAAAGAATAAATCTCTCCATTAATAAAATGCAGAGAGGAGCAGGGGGAGGAATATTTTGGTTTAGCTTTGGGTGTGTATAAAGGTTTCTGTCTTAACTTTTGAAAGGATGGCAATATTCCTTCATCTAGGGGAAGGGCAGGATCTGCTTGTCTTGTGGAATGAGGGACAAATCCCTGCCCTGCTCAGGGCAACTTTTTAATAAGAGAGCAGGGAAAGCATCGAGTAACCCAACGAAGCAGGTGACCTATGGCGAGGTTGTCAGTCAGGCCAACAGGCAGGGTGACTCTAGAGCAGCATTGTGGGAATGTGGCACTGCCTTGAACAGCAATTAAATGATGGAATGGTGCTTCCTGCAGCAGTGCAGCATGATGTGCCTGGGATGGGGTAGGGGACAACTGGTGTGAGTGACAAGTGGTGTCATCCAAGACTGCTACTCCCTGATGTTGGATATCAGACTCTGCAGGCACCTGTGTCACTTCCCTGGCTCATCAGCCCCCTCTGGCTCTTGCAGAGCAGTTTTCTGTGGTGGGATCACAGCCCTGCCCCAAGTCTGTCCAGTGTACTGCATATACAGATATGATGGTCAGGATTAGCACTGCAGCTTGAAATAATCCCAAAAATGTCACCTCCTAAACACTGAGCTTGTAAGAAAGCACCTCTGCAGAGCTTTCTAGCCAGAAGTGTTTTCTTTTGAGAGTTCTGAAGGACTTACTGAGTTCTTTGCTGACTGCAGCACTTAAGCATGAGTTTGGCTTTAAGTGAGAATGTTCAGGTGCTTACAGCTGGTTTGTAATAATCTATCATTTACAAACTTAAGCCTGATTGTTTAGTCCTTTCCTAAATACCAGTTGCAGGAGGCAGAGAGGACATCTTTATCCCCTGCTGCTTTCTGGAGAAAGTGTCAGTTCTGCGGTTCTCTCTGTTCTATATTTCTTTGCACCAGAAATGACCCTGCTGCTCTTTGTCGACAGTGTTTCCTTTTATCCCTCTCCTGGCAGCTGCTCTTGCTCCATTCTGATGTTGGAACAGCAAATGAATTCCCTCTGAAGCAAATGTCAAGCCAGTAAAGATGTTGAAGCAGCAAGAAAATCATCTCTTTCTCTGAAGACAGAATTGGAGACCTTTGTGAATGAGATGTTCTTAAAATAGCTCCTCAGTATGTTATCTTCCCTAGAAGGTGCAGAATTGAAAGCATCACCACAAGGCACTTGCCCTTGTGTGAGCAGCATCCCTAAATGATGGGTTTTGGAGAGGGGAGAGAAGCAGGCTACTTCCTTTTCCTCCTCTCCAGGCAAAAAGCACTGCATGATTTTCATCTCTGTGTGATGGTACATTTATGTTTTTTCCAAGAATTGCATCGCTGTTTGCTGCTTGTTTAAATATGTCATGTGTTGAGTGACCTTGTTCTCCATGATCCACTGTTACTGGGGTAAACTGGTAGCTAAAAGCAAAGCCAAGCCACAAGTTGAGTAGAGGTGCTCTGAATTACCCTCTCCAAGGATCAGGGTGGTTGAGGCCTCTGTGGAGAGTAGAGGTTCTCAGCTGTTGGGGTGTGCCACAGCCTGGATAGGCTGAACTCAGCATTGAGTCACATCATGCAGTTCAGTTCCTGTCTTGATTCAAATCTGTTTTCCAAGGAAGATAGCGGCTCTGGAAACCTTCTCTTCTGTGGAACTTCGGAGTCACTGGTTCAGGTGATGGAAGCTCCGTTTCTGTGGTCAGACAGACAACAGGCATTGGTTGTACATGGAGAATTTGGTTAGTTTGGGAGGTCTTGCTGAGATTTTTCCAGCCTCAACTAGTTCAGGATGTTTGATTCCCTGATAACCTCAGGAGAGCGTTGGGCCCAGCAGCAGGGATGGCATGAGCTGCTGGGCTGTGACATCCCATTGTCCCTGAGTGTAGGGCAGGGCTCACATTCTGGAGTCCCACAACTTGATGAGCCAGTGCTCCACGGGTTGCAGGTGCCTTTTGAGAATTCATTGTTGTGTTGTTGCTTCATAATCCTGTCCTTGAAAACAGATGTTTTTGAAGAAAGTAAATCTTGCATATGTGCACTTCAGAGCAGAAAATGCAGGCTGCACATGTGACATGCACATGAGCTGTCGTTACTTTGTTTATTGAAAAAATTATTGTAATGAATGGAATTGAGGGTTTGGGTGGTAAAATTAATCCAGAAAAGTCTGATACAACTTTTTGCCAGAATCATGAATAGAATCTTCCACATGCTTGTGAATATCTGAATATTTCTATTTTTCTTCAACTTGGTGGAAGGGGAATTGATAAGTTAAAATACTACATGCAAAACCGAAATCACTAATTGAAGAATAGGAATTTTTATAGCAGTTTCATAATTATATTCATAACATAAGTTTATGGAAAAATAAGTTTATTAGGAGAAATGTTAACATTTTGACATCTTCAGTTTTTCATCTTTTGTGTGAAGGTGTACTGATATAAGCACAGAGTTTCCAGAGGTTTCTCAGCTAAGACTAATAATGTTTTTCCTAGTCCTGTTTTTTTGACATGATAATATCTCTTTAAGGGCTTTCTTTACCAGATCAATTCCTTTCCTACCAGGAGAACTAAAGCTTTTCAGCTGTCTGTCCAATTTATCCTTCTGGACTAAATTTCTCATCTCGAGATAACCAGCAGCAACCTTCCCCTCAGGAGATTTGTATCAATTAGTTCTGCATCACTGATTCCTGTGGTACTGGGGGACTAGTGGGTTGTAAGAAAGCTGCTCTGTAAACAGTTATGGCTGTTGGGGGTTCTGGGGGTTTGTCTTTACTTTTTTTTGTTTAGAGGCCATGGGTGCCATCACTGGAGATCTTGCTCATGCTTGCCCTGTCCTTGCCTGTGAGGCTGGGCACTGCTTCACTGCAGAGGGCATGCAGGACTGTTCAAGGTTTGTGCTGCCTGGTGGGCTGGGGGATGAGAGCTCTGGGTGCTCTCTGGCTGCCGCAGCGGCCCCGCTGCCACCCCTGGTGTCACCAGCTCCTCACATGGCTGGCCAGGTGGCAAGTGGGAAGTCACTGCTGCTGATGGTAACGTGAGTGGCAGATGCAGTCTGGCAGGAAAGCAGGTTATTCTGCAGCTTGAATGCAGGCCAGGCTTCACCTAATCCCTCTCTTAGCCACAGAAAGGTGGCTTTAATCTATTTATTCTGCATTTGGTTGTTTTTTCAGTGCTGATCTATCTGCAAATGCCATTGCACTGTTTGTCTGTTTCTATCCATTTGCCATTAGCAGATGTGTTGGGACATGAGGCTGTTTCCAGTCACTCAAATCTAATCCTAGCAGTGCTGCAGGATCTTAGGAATTTCTCTGCATTTATACAGAAGTAAACGATGTATAACATGTCATTTTTAAGAATCTGCTACCAGCAATTTTGTTAGACAAAATTGTTAGGAGTTTGTTAGACAGCTGATTTTCTTTCTGCTGATGTTTTAGACAAAACTAATTTGATAGGATTATTAGAGGAGGAAAATTAAAAGGACAGAATCATCCAGGAAGCTCATTAAAATGGAAACCCTGAAAAAACTGGGTAATTGGGTGTTGATTGTGTCCTCCCCCCCCCTCACTTTATGAGCAGTATTGTATTAAAAGTAACATGTCTGCAGGATGATGCTTCAACATCTGTTATTGCTGAAACAAAATTATTTGCTTGTTTTTTCCTCTCTACATTCTTCCAACATCTGCATGTGTAGATCTATCCTGTATATATTTATCCCGTCTAACACCACTCCTTTCCAGGGAAAAGGCATCAAAGGGAATGGGATCCTCGCTTTGGTTTGGAGGAGGATTCTGTGTTGCCGCTCACTTGTATTAGATCCTGGGTGAGTTGCTGTGAAATGAATCATGTGAGTGACGACTCAGGGCTGCTTAGGAAGCCCAGGCACAGGTTCGGTGCTCTGAGATGTGTTTATGTGGAACAAAGAAGTTCACAGTCTGTCAGCTGTCTGGCTCCTGAAATATCAATGTCACATTATGTGATTAAACCTATGCAAGTAATTGTCCTTACTTTCTGTTCTGAGAATATTTGCAGGAAAATCACGTTTTAAAAAAGTATTTCACTCTGAGGATGCTCAATAATTATACTGGGATTTAGACTTTTTTTTTCTTTATAGGCTGATCCAATAAATTGATTCTAAATCTAGCTTGCTGAATGTTTACTATTTCAATCACTCTGGCTGTGATTATTGTGATAGTAAGCAATATACTTTCTTTGGTTTAAGTTTTGGATATGTGCTAAAATATGCATGGTTGCATGTGCCTGAATCTTAATATTCAGTTTATTTACAAGTGTGACGTTTTTCTTTCTCTTTAGTATATGTACTATAAAATACAATTGCATTAAGGTTCATAGCAAGAAAATAGAAAGAGCTGGGCAGTAGATTTGAAATAATATTGGGAAGTATTTTCTGATCTCTAATCATTATGATGTTGTGTCTTCCAGTCTAGAAAGTAAGCATGGGAAATTTAAGCATGGTAAAGTACATGATTAAATCCATTCCTATCCAGCAAAATTCTTGAACTTGATTTGAAGCATGTGCATTAGTTATATTAATAACACATAACTATTCCTTAAACCAGCCAGAGTCAGACAGACTAAATATTAGAATTACAAGGTAAATACTGCAGTAAATAAGATAAATATGGGTTCTGGCTTTGCCATGAACTTGTCAGCAGTTTAGACTTCTACAGTCATTTCTATGGCAGTTGAAATCAGAAAAGAAATTTCAACTAATTTTTTAATATGCTGAAATGTATTAAGTTACACAAAAGAATCCATATTATAGTAATCCTGCATATATACAGGGAAAGAGTACCCAGTGTGCATGGCAGATGGTTTCAAAGGAAATCCTCGAGAGCTAGGATTAAAAAGCAATTTTCAGCAAGTTTAAAATGGGTCTCCATATTTGGGTCACAGATATTAACTCTTTCATTGCAAACAAATGAGGGAGAAGGCTGGTCAGATTGTTATGGAAATGTTTCTCCCAGCAGAAGCTGATCAGTTTGTGCTGGGGAAGAAAGGTGTGAGCAGGGTAGTTGATTCTACTCCTAGTCCTGTTCTCACACCAGTGGGAAGCAGAGTTGTGGCATACAGACACAGGGATATAATGCAATAAATGGGATTCATCATTCCATGAAAAAACACTGGCAACCCCCTGAAAAATAATGTGTTTGTGGCTTTGATCTTTGACCCCTGGAAGAAATTTCCATGAAGACAAACAGATAAATAAGTTCGAACATGTTAGGAACAGCAGATTTATAGCTGTTTACCTTCAGTAAATTATTACCGATCACTTCATTAAAGTGTAAAGACTGTACAGATAGCGTTTCTGTATTCCTTTTGGATATGGTGAGCATGTATGATGTAGGATAAATAAGAAATTGAACAGCAATGTTGTTGCTTCATAGAAAGGAATGAACATGGGCTCCCAAGTTTTGCTTGGAAAAAGTTTTTCCATGTCTGTGCATGGAAAGTAAACCTGTTTTACTCAAACATGTTTTAGGGGCACACTAGAATTTTGTTATTTGTTTTTAAAGGTTATTTAGGAAAATCAACAGTACCACACAGCCATTGTTCCAGACTGCAGCTGTTTGGAGGTGGCATACAAACATGCAGAAATCTTGCCGCCACTCACAGCACAGAAGGGATTGATGCAGGTCAACTTTGCACTGGAGGATCACGAGAAGACGCTGGGCTTTTAGTAGATAAAAATAGGGCAGCACATTGGAGATTATTGGCTTTAACTAACTTACACCAGTTAGTAACCGTATCAGGAGTGCAATTCACATTTACATCAGTGCTCTTTATACACTTTGGCAGCACAAAGGAACCTCAAGTTTGACATGAACTTTTCCTTGAAAGACTCTTTATACACTTTGGCAGCACAAAGGAACCTCAAGTTTGACATGAACTTTTCCTTGAAAGACACTTTTACTTCCAAAGTGGAAATTCAAGTTAGACCTTAAGCACTGTTTTTCACTAAACAACGGAACAGAGCAACTGATACTGTTTTATTGTGTTCCCAAAGCTCAGCTGGTTGTATTTGGAGTAGGTTTGGAAAGGTGTTCCCAAAGCTCAGCTGGTTGTATTTGGAGTAGGTTTGGAAAGCTTTCTGAGCCCAGGTGCCTGATGCTCTGCTAAGTGAATTATGGTAGTAACTGCTGGTTTGAGTATCAGCCTAAGGAGAAGTTAATTGTGTTGCTCTCTGGGTATTACCTTGGCTGTGAGTTAGCAGAGGAGGACTGCACTTCTGAAAGGGCGTGATGAATGTCCTGGTGGGATAGCTAAGTGCTAATTAACAATGCTAATGAGAGGTGTTTTCTGCAGCACTCAGCCAAGGTATTTATCAGAGGTTCTCCACTCTTAGAAAGGAAAATTTAGGTAATGGATGAAAATAAGGTGGGTTTTGGTGTTTTGTGAAAGTGCCAGTGGATTCAGGATGAACTTTTAAAGTTGAATCTGTTGTTTTGGGTTCTTATTTCACAGCACCTATTGTAGTCAGTCTGCCTGTATGCATCTTGATATGGCCTTCAGAGGGAAAATATTAAGTGTTGACATTAGATACCAAAACTTGAACACCCCAAGCTGTTGTCAGTCATCATATGTCACCAAGTTGTGTTACTATTAAATACCTGGGGAAAAAAAATTCATCTGTGGCAACAGCTGTCTTTGATCCATGTGTTTGTAAATGTGCTTGAGGGTTTTGCCTTAGATTTTTCAGACGTGTGTCTTTCAAAGGGAGGCAGAACAGATCACTTCAGAGTCTCTGTCATTGTTATCTTCCAGGACTTTTGTTTCAAGTAGTTTTTTTAAGTCTCTGTGACAGGATCTGAGATAAAACCTTATCCAGATGTCTGAGTAGTCAGAGAAATCCATTTGCTTGACTTCAACAAATATAGGGTAGGTTATAAATAAACAAATTAGTGTTGGCTTTAGAGAATGAGCTGCTTTGCTTTACTCACTGTGCAATCATGTGTTCAAGAAAAAGCAGTTTCTTGTGTGCATTCTGTTGTCGCCTGGGTCCAAAGCAGTTTTCTGTATACAGAATACTGTAAAGTAATTATTATGTCATTGTACAGAGTTCTGAGTGTGAGAAACTGTGGCTATTTAAAGGAGGTAAATGCTTTCTTACCTCCAGCAACTCTTATCAGGAAATATTGAAGGGTCAGTTCTCCTCAGTCAGAGTTCCTCTCTACTTAAATCTTTTTGTAGGGTATATTTTTAAGAGCTTTTCAGAGTAGATGACTGAAAGTAGCAGCCTGTTCATGTCAAAGCCATACATCCATGTCTGATGTAAATGGCCAGACAAAAGTGAAAGCTCCCATTGGAATAAACTGAGCTACGTATGGGCTTCTCAGCACTTCTTCATTAATGGCACTTCAAGTCGTGAGTTGAGGAGAAACAGATAATGAAAATTGGTTCTTCTCTGCAGGCCTCTTGCTTACCTTTGGACTTAGACAGGCCTAATCTGTGAAGATAATTAAAGTTCCTCTACTCTGGATGCTGTAAGTGATTTTTTTGTTATATGTATTCTATCTGGTTGAGAATACCCACCTGAAGTATCAGCATTGACCAAAATGTCATGTAGAGAGGTTAGAGGGCTGAAAACGCTTGTGAATGAAGAATCTTCCCATAGGCAGTGACAGAGGGTGGTAGCCCTGGCTGTCAGTCAGCATGGCAGTTGTTTGAGTTTCAGGTGCCATGATAACAGAGTGGGACATTTCAAATACCTTTTACTATTCCATAGACTTCTCCCAGAAGAGGCCTGCCCACCTTAAAAACTATTCTGTGGCAGCAGAACCTTTGGAGCATCTGGGATAATGCCCCCCTAGATGAGGGAATGGGCTGTAGCTGGCACTGCAGGAAGGCAGAGGATGTGTAGGAGGCTGGGAACAGAATGCCATGGGTTTGACCTTGTTGCAGCACCCCCTCAGGATCCATAGGACATGGCTCTCTGCTGGTTAATTGTCACAAGCGGGGGGAATGACACATTCCTTATTTCTGCAAGAGTGTCTTTAAAACATCTGATATTCTTCCACTAATGAAAGCATGCAAAGAGCTCTTCAGATCCCCATTTTCTCCCCAAAGCTGTGGGAACAATTTTCTGGCTTGTAGAACAAAGAAGTTGGAACAGATGACATAGCCAACATCTGCACCTGGCTCACTGAGGAAGCGAATATTTGGCATAGGAGCTGAGCTCCCTTCTGCCAAGAGATCTATGCTGATGCAGTTGTTCAGGGATGAAGATGGCAAAATGTCTTTTCCTCATTGACTCACCAAAGCAATTTTATTTATCTGTCAAAGTAAAAAAAAAAAAAATTTGAGAAGGAAAATGTCTTTACTTTTAAATACCAGAGTTTAGTCAATGGTTAATCAAATGCTGTCTAACCAACCCCGTTAAGATTTTGATGGTGTATCACTTCAGTTCCGATGGCAGACACATCACATATGGGTTGCCATTTTGATGGCTTTGAATGGTAATCTGACCCATAAAAACTGAAGCATAATATGCAAACTGATTTTTTTCTGGCCTGCCCTGTTCTTGGTGCCATCTGTGTTAGGATGGAAACGAGCCTGCTCAACACGTGGGCTGCCGGTTTTGAGCTGATCACAGATGGGTTTGAAAGAATAGCCTTGTGTGCACAAGGAGAAGGAAGATGCTCCTGAGCAGGAAGTTTCACTTGAAACCATATTATGTCTGCTAAATCCTGTGGCCTATGGAACAGCCATCAGACCTTTCCCTGAATTCTTCGTGTGGATTAAGTAGACTAAATTTACCTTCTAAATATCAAGAAAACCCCCACAACTTCTAAATATTGCTCTTTTTCCATCACTGCGTTCTACTGCTGTCATCAATAATGGAACAGAGTACAGGAAGCTGACATTACCTGACCTTGTTAGATATTTGCTGTGCATCTGTTCAGCATAACTGGGTACAGTAAATTATTTCATAAGTTTTGTAGATGAGTTTTAATTTGTAGTGTGAATCCTGTTGAACTTATGTTTCTGGGTTTCTGTCTTTGACAATTAATAAAAGTATGTGTTATAGGTGAAGGTGAGTACCTGTCCTCTGTTGTTGCATTTAAGATCAAAAATTCAGATGTTTAAGCGCCTAATTCTCACTGTGGTCAATGAGATCTTGGTTTTCTTCTCATGTTGACAGAGCCTGTGCTCTAAATTTGAGAGACTGACTGCCCTTGTCTTACGTGGAACCACAAGTGTCCTGATACTATTTATAATCCCAAGAAACACATAAAATAATTTTCCCTGGTTAGGAATAAGGTGTACAGAACTCTGATTTTTATATTTTTTTACTCTCTTTAAATCAGTGACATTGTTTGAATGACCATTTCTTTGTCAGAAAGAAAGCCTGTAGAAGGCGGCACTCATTGATGAGTTTTGTGGTCGTGACACACTTGAACATCCCTCTCAAGACATCTTGAAGCCTTTTATTTCCAGGCTAAATAAACACCAATTTCAGCAATGTCTCATCTACTCCCTTTAATTACTGCTGCTGAGAGAAAGTTTCTGCCAATGCAAATGTGCTATTTTGTCATGTCACATCAAATTGCATCAGCCTTATATTTAGGAACAAAAAGAGGGGGAGGCTGAGACAGGATGTGGCTACAAATGGAACCAAAGGGTTTTCTTAAATATAGGCTGAAAATACACAATCGAGGCAGTGATGCTTTTTCAAGCAAAAATCCATGAAAGGGAAAATCAAGGCTGTGACGGTAGAACAGGGCTGGGGGTGTGCAGAGAGACTTCTGGGGGAAGTGGGGTGCTGGCAGGGAGGGGCTGCTGAACTCCTCACTTACGCAGACACCCTTGTGTATCAGATGGGCATGAGGTGCATTTGGGCTGTGTAAGCCCACACCTCGTTCCTGTGTGCTGGCTGAAGGAGGGGGGAGCTGTGTTTCCCTCCAGCCTGTCCCTGCCCTTTCCCCAAGGATGTTTCCCCATGAAGCAATAACTCAGCTCTCTAAACTGAAGAGATTGTGGGAAACAGGTACTGACAAAATTTGAGTGGCTGTCCAGATAAGCATAGGAGACTTTGAACAATCCCTCACACCACTTTAAAATGTAGTGTCTCTACAGAAAAAAATATTTTTAAAAACTTGTTCTTTAGAAAACATTAGTGGCTGCACCATGGAAAACAATTTTTGCCCCCTCAGTATTGGGCACAAAATAATCTGTTGAAATCAAATGCATAAATTGTGGATGTAATGGAGCTTGCTTTGAACTGATGAGTCTGATCTGAGTCTGGTGGCAATTAAACAGAGTTCTGAAAGATCAGCTGTGTTTGAGAACCAGCAGAATTCTGGGAGGAAGTGATCTGGGGGCGTGTGAGCAGCACCTACTTAGCAAATTGGAAAAATACTATTCATTTTTTACATCTAAGCACTTGGAATCTCTCCTCAGAACCAATTGGTGATGATAGAGGTAATATTTTTATTCTTGTCACCAAGGATAATAAAAATGCAGCAGAAGCTTAGAAACTTGTGTATTTACAGCATTGTGACAGGCATAAGTCAAGCAGCAATTCAGGCTGAAGCCAGCGAGCAAAGGCACCTAGTTCTCCATGGCTGGATGTCACAGGTCCTGCAGGACTGTAAGACATTAAATATAGGGATGCTGCCAGCTGTTCAATTCCTCACAGCAGGCAAGTACTAACCGTAGTGCTGACTCCATGCACACAGTGCCACAGGTCAGGACGAAGGCAAGGAGAGGTTTCCCTGTGGCTTTGCAGCCCCAGCTGCAGTGTGAGGGGTCTGGGCCGGGCTTCACGGGGGCAGGGACACCCTGCAGCCTGCAGAGCAGGGCCAGCCTTGGAGCTGGCCTGCCTGGGCTGCTGAAGGCTTTGTCTGACCCTTCAGAGTGAGGCTGCCAGGCAAAGTCCTGAGACATTCCGGTGCTACTTCCAGTATTAATTTGCATAGAATTCCTTGGATTTCATTGTCATTTAACCCACTCACAAGGCTTAACCACATCTGATTTTTGCCTCTGCTGACATTTTCTTTTCTTTTTAAGCACATAAGCATTAAAAATCCCTCAGTAAAATGTGTGTATTTTCATAGCAAGGAAGGCATTTCTTTAACACTATTTCAAAGCAAATCACAGAAATATTGAATGGGAGAGGAAAAAGATGTTTGGTTCTTATAGTTAGGGTTTATTTGTTTTGAACTGAATAAATCTGAAAATATTAGATAAAAACTACAGATAAGTGAAAAAATTCCATAAGCAGCATCTTCCAGATTTTTCCTCAAAAAAACCACCCAACTGACAACAGTACAACAGAAAAGTGTTCTTAATTAACATCTTCAATTAAAGGAGAAGCATTGTGGATCTCTTAGATGTATTATTAAATCTTCATTGTTTAGATAATTGGATAGGGACAGACACTTGTGCTGAGTGCTGTGTCAAATTTGTCAGGGCCTGCTGTAATTCTAGTGCACTTGCTGGATTTCACAGCTATTTGTCTGGGTACAGGGGTAATTTGGAGGGTTGAGTGAAGCCAGATGACTGTAATGAACTCATTTTGTGTCTTTGACTCAGTTTCGGGAAAAAAAAAAAGATGCTATTTTTAGGGTATTTTATATTGTTAAGACTTCTGTTCTTCCTGTCTCTCAAAGTTTCTCTGGGTCGCTGTCTTTGCTTCATCACCGATAATTATATCAAATTAATTCAGCATAATTGTGTTAATTATTAGCACTGGAGGTTACCACCAGGACTTCGATTGAACCAGAGCTTTTATCCCCCTTTTCCTGAGGTTTCACCAAATGTAAACAAACCAGAATCACGGGTGAACATCAAGTGCTGTTGCCACTCAGAATTGTCCTGCCATGCTCATTCACTCAGATGAGTACTGATAAATGGAATGGGAAAAGAGTTCTCTCTCAACCCCTTCATCTCTGCCAGAGCTCTAAATTAGTTACCCAACAGAGTTGGTGTGTTAAGAGTGAGCCCTGTACCACCAAGAACAAATGTCCTGCAGGGTGCTGGGGGATGTCTGCATTTGCAAGAGCTTCTTGCTGCCCACACCTTTCTTTTCAAAGGCACCTTAGATTGCCTTTGAGCTAGGCTGGGCCTTGGAGAGTGACAGTGAAGTTTTAGGGAAAATTTGACCTATGGCTTTAAGAGCTCAGAAGTGTCCAAAAGACATGGTGGGATCTGCCCCTGATTAGCTGCTGGCATGGAAACAAGCCCTGATTAGTGAGCTGGACCAATCCCCCTAAGAGGCTAAAGGCACCCAGACTTACATGTACTGTAATACTGCTGCTTATAAACACTGCTCCCAGGAACATGGATTTTGCTCAGGATGTGGTGGGTAAAATTCATCCATGGTTTAATTCCACCACAGAAAGGGTTTATGGCAGGGAAGGGGTTGGCTTAGACGATTGCTGCGATTGAGAGCAAAGGCTTGGAGATGCTAAATTTCAGCAGATATGGATTTGGAATAATAGACATTGAGTTGTTCCTGACACTGCTGTGAAGGATCATGTGA